ACCAAACCCGCAGCCGCTGGAACTCGCCTGCACCGATCGCCGCACCCGGAGGCAGCTGCATGGGGCTTATTTTGTAAAAGCGTACGTGGCACATGAAACTGTACCCCTGCTGTACCCCCCTAAAAACGCCTGGCGCTCAGTGAGCTTTGCTAAGTGAAGATGCTGCCATAACCCCAGCACGCCTGTGAGGTTTTTTTCCTGTACAAATAATAAAACCAAAAAAGAGGGGTGGGGAGAAAAGTTAAAATATTCTTTTCTGCGGAAGATGTAAGACACGTCTATCACTATTCAGACATAGCAGGGACGGGGGGGGCGGCTAACCATGTGTGAGTAGCTGTTGATTGTTTTCTGGTTGAGAGAAGTGATGATAAGATTGGGCTAAAGTGTACATTGCTCGTGTAACCTGCAGCTGTATGCTAATGATAATGGAAACAAATCCACTGCCTCCCCCATTAAACAGGGAGGAGGCAGGGAAGCACACATCACTGAACAAATACACTCGCACTAGACAAATAAAATACACACACATACATACACCACAACCACGAGAGAAAGAAAGGAGAAAGGGGTAACCGAGTCGCCAGTATGTGGCTCGGTGCGCTCCTCTCAGTTATGCTCTCCTACTTATCTTTACAGGATATTGGCTGATCATTCGGTTTTAGGACATGCTTATTGGGGAGGCTCAAGGAAATCAGTGCTGGATTGCTGTGTGGCACGAATGGAAGGTAACATAATCTGGAGGGCGTTTGTCACGCTGGTCCTGCAACAAATGCCATCGAGTGCTGGCCGCTCACACTGACGTTTCTTCCCAGAAACGGGGACCAATTACCCACCTTGGGCTGAGAACCCCAAACTTCCCCTTCATTTAGGCCTTTAGGCATAAACAAGTCGCCCTAAATAGGCCACTTAAAAGAGAAAGCTCTGCTACCCAATATACTTTGCGTAATAGTCACGCTGGTCCTGCAACAAATGCCATCGAGTGCTGGCCGCTCACACTGACGTTTCTTCCCAGAAACGGGGACCAATTACCCACCTTGGGCTGAGAACCCCAAACTTCCCCTTCATTTAGGCCTTTAGGCATAAACAAGTCGCCCTAAATAGGCCACTTAAAAGAGAAAGCTCTGCTACCCAATATACTTTGCGTAATAAAAGAGCTACTCTCTTCTCCCCCCCCCCCACAGACACCCCCCCCCAAG